CACCTGTACAGTTCCTGTTACGTTATTTTACTTAGTAATTGGGCATTTATCTGTAGCGTAGCCTTTTGAAAAGCAGAGCACACAGACAGTGAGTACTTTGCATACATAATTTGAATGCATAAATAGCAATCAATGCATTATACATGATGACTTCTGAATAATTCTGGAATATTTTAAAATAAAAGAATACAGAGGGACTAAGTTCTCCCAATGTGAAAGAGTACAATATCAGATATGTCACAAGAAAACTTTAATTCATGTGCAATTACTGAGTGTTTATACCAGTAATGATGTATAGTAATATTATGTACATATACATTATGTACTATACGATTACTTAAATATCATATGGCTAACCTGCAGTATATGTACAGTTTATCAGATATTAAAATAAATACATTTGTATGTTTGTTTTGCTTTTGTATGCATACTGTACAAACAGTGCCAAATGAAGGGCTGCTTAATGATTCCCAACCACTCATTAAGAATAATTGATACAAACTTTGCTATCTTGCTATCTTATCTGTTTCATATCACAACCTCAGTGCTTCAGGCTTCAAGATTTGTTACAATGTAAATTCCAGTGTGACTGGTGGCACGGCAATGGTACCGCGTAAGTATAGCAATATAAAAATCTGTGCATAACAGGCTGACTCTTTCAACATTAATATATAATTATGAGTAGCACATACACCCTACACATACAAACTTTAAGTAAAGAACCACAAGTCGACATGTAGCCCTTTGATTTTAGAAACAAGGTAGCTTGGAAACAACATCACAATTTTCAATTAATTTTTTGTGTGGGCACATACTGGTTTTTGGACAGTCTCAGTAAATACACTCGGCAATTTAAATGCTCTTTTCCTTTCCTGTTCTACATACAGTTCTAATAGCCTTATAGGATAAATGTGAGGCAAATGAACAGTTACAATAATAAATATTTGGAGCTGGAATTCAGAAATCCTTTGGAGTCTATAGGCCTCTACCATCCCCCAGGCCTCTGGGGGCAGTACCCACATGGATCTGTTTGTTTCATATCTTAATATCTTGCTAACATCATAATGCAGCCTTAGGGAAATAAATATGCTCATAATTGCATCACACAGACACAAGAGTGACTGGATCATATTTCTGTACCCATCTTTCCTGAAAGATTTAAAGACAGATAGCAGATTACTCTATTTTTATCGTGGGACCCTTGACAAAATAATGGAAATACTAGCACAAAGTGTTCTAATATGCCATTGGTGCACAGCTTCAATGCATCTTGACATACATTCTACAAGTGTCACAAACTTTAAGGGTGAAGCATCTTTTTCCCCTTGGAAATTACATGAATCTCCAATAGGTGTTCATTTAGGATAAGATCTTGGATAGTGATAGTGTACAGTTTATTTAATATGTGACCACTCATGCCAGATGGATGGGCAAATTGCAGAAGATTGTACTTCATTCAGGAAAGAAATGCTTCACTGCGGTTTGATCACCCTTCACGCTATCTTTGTTTTTGTTGACATATTCATTTACATCAACAAAAATATTGCTGAATATAACTTACTTAATGACATGGTAAATATAGATATCTGTCTATTCAGAGATGGGTACTAATGTACTACACTTACTCCATTATACTCACTTTAGCAAGTTATTTTAACAGTGTATACTTTGTACTCTTACTTGAGCATATCTACAGACAGAAATGCATACATTTACTTCATTACAGTACATTCTCTGCATCTGTCTCACTACTGGCTACTTTCTCCCACGTCTTTCACCTTTTGATGATGTCAGTTCAACCCTTGAGCGAGGCCCTTAACCCCCAGCTCCATGGGGGCCGCTGCAGGTGGCTGCCCTTTGCTGCCAAGCTCGCTCTCACCTACATGTGTGTCATAAAGAGCAAAAGCGGGAAGACAAAATGGGAATTTCCCCACGTGTATCTTGAGAGTTACCGCTTTGGTTAAGAGGGAATAATATTCATCTGTTTACTAGCTCAATATTTTAGGAACCAAACTCACAGAAGTCGTCTTTACAATAAGAGTGGTCAGTTACTGTGTCCTCATCCAACAATATATTAATATAATGTAAAGAATATATTAAATAATATCATATATGTTTCATGATATATATGACAAACATGCATGCAGTTGTAATGCTGATGTAGCAGCATCTGAATATAAAATAGATTCCCTCATGAAAAAAAAATTGTATGGACAATTCCAAATATTTCCAATTTAATTTCATTTTTTGAAAATTGACGGATCTGCCAGCCCCACTGTAAGAATACATAAACATCAGTGTGTGAGCACGCTTGTCAGAAGTTAACTGAATCACCAATTAAATCATAATACTGGGATTCTGCCCGACAAAGTTCTATTTCTATTTGGTTCTATGTAAGCTAAGAAAAACTTAATTTAACAACAAATACTAATTCAGCTCAGATATGGAAAATAGTTTTAATCTATAATTTAATTTGAGATTTGTTATGGGGTAGGGACTGACTTACTTCATTTACCACCAAATCAAATGATGTTAGTCTGACTTGCAAATTTTATGCACAAATTCAGTTGATGCTACATAAAATACAGTTGCTATTGACAGTTAATTAAATAAAATACCTCACAGATGTGTGTGGCTAATGCATTTTTTTTTACAATGTAGTGTATTTATTTATTATATGTAATTAAACATCAACATCAATATCAAGATTGAAAAAAAGTTTTAGGTTATTGAACCCAAAACTGGTAAAAACAATGCGTTCATGCGTTGCTTAATCATAGGGGTACATTCTGAGAGATGCACTGTTGTGAGAGCATCTTAGAGTACTTACACAAACTTAGATGGTGTAACCTACTACACACCTAGGCTATATGGGATAGCCTAAATAACGATAAAAAGTACAGTATAGTATATAGCGAGTAACATAGATATTTATTATCATTATCACGTAATATGTACTGTGCAAAATTTATGTGCTATATTTTTACATGACTGGCAGTGCCGTAAGTTTGCGTGCACCAGCATCACCCGAAAGTATTGCCGCATATTCGCCACATAACGACGTTACGATGGCTGCGACGTCACTAGGCGATTGAAATTTTCATCACTGTCATACTGTATACAGTATGTGGTCTGTTGTTGATTGAAGGTCATTATGTGGTGCAAGACTGTTCTACTATCAAATGTATAATTGGCTGGCTGATAAACAAACGCAAAATGCTGTTGTCGCTTTTCACAAACCTGATCTGAAAATTGATGGTGAAAGAGGGAAGGGATTGACCAGTAACAAGGTGGATGAACATGCTACTGGGAAGCTTGAAAAACCAGACAGAAGATAGGACAACCTGGAAAAAACTGCCGTCTATTTGTTTGCCAGGACAACACATATATGATGGACAACCACAGAAGAAGCTTCCATCTGATCAATTCAAAGAGGATGTGATTTAATACATATACTAAAGGGACTGAGTATAAAAGAGTTGTCCCTTGGCAGTTACAGTGGAAAGGCTGACGGAAAGTGTTCCTCTCTATTCAGCTCGTATACCAGCAGAGTTGGCTCTCTGTCCAGTAAGAGCATGAGTGAGACACTCGTATCCATTTTTCAACTTATTTGGCATCACTCTCATAGATCTTGGCATGTGTCACCCTGTTTACGATCGATGGCACCTCTTACACATCTCTCTGACTCTCTTTCTGCTTCCCATCATTTTTCAGCCCATAAAACGTGATTTTTTTGAATTACTATTGTCTTTAAAAAGTTATAAGAGGCATTATTGCCTCTACATGGGGAAAATAATATACTGAAGTTCCTATGTGTCTCGGGATTTGACTGTGAATCAGGGAAATTAATAGGAGCAAGATGGTTGTAATGAATTAAATAAAAATTCTAATAAATTTAACTGAATTTGAAAAAATAAAAATAAGAATGGACAAGTTATCCTGTTATAGTACCTTAAAAGTGGATCTTTTAAGGATATAATGGTAGTCATATTTTTCAGCATTAAGTAACACAAAGGTCAAGGAGGAGATTATTTCATCCTTCATATGTCAGAAAATGATGTAGAGACACAGATTAAAATGCTGGCCCACCAATCACTGCACGATGCTGAAGCACAGGGGTCTGCTGCCTCTTCTCCACACGCCATTTCAGCAAAGGGCCAAGTGCTATAAGTTAAACACTGCGGCACTGCATTCTGGATACTGTGGTAGTTTTTTTTACGCATGCAAAATTTAGCATTGTGGCTACTGTAACTTCATAAATTCGGAACCATGCTGCACTTTCTCTAAGTGCTAATATGCACATATGTTGAGTTTTGCACATTTTTATATTTTATACACATCTTTATGTTCATAAAAATATCAATTGATTGAAGTAAATTTTGTCAATAATACATAATTCCTGTTGTTAGAGGTATACGCACAGATCTACATAACATCTCTCTTGCAATATGCCTTACAAACACAAAAACCTTGAAGTCTCGCTACATTTACACTATTACAAGTATAACGTTCAGTATATAATCCAGTGGTTCTTCATTCTGTTCCTGGAGGACCCCCTGCCAGAATGTCTTCATTCCAACCCTACCTTAATCAGGCTCAGATGGTCCTTAATGGGCTAATAACGAACGTGGCAGGTTGAAAGCAGTGTGGGTTGGAATGACAACATTCTGGCAGGGGTCCTCCAGGAACAGGATTGAGAATCACTGATATAATCTATGTTCCTATTAGTTCTGTACAGTGGAGATTTATTAATGACTTAAATTAAGGAGTTAGTAGGTTTAATAAATTATAGGGTAAATTTAGTGTAACAGGAATTTATTGACGACAGATAAACTTGTGTAAAGTTACTTGTCCATTTATATTAACTGAATAAATGATGAGAATTCTCTTCCTGGGAGAAAACATAATATCTGTCACTGTTAAGCACATATACCATGCAAGCTAGATAGAAGAGTTTTCTTTATCTTTTTTGTCTGTTTGTTTTTTGTTTCTTTTCATAGAAGGAGGTACATGTGAGGTCATTGCTGCTCACAGGTGCTGCAACAAAAACCGAATTGAGGAGCGATCCCAGACGGTGAAGTGCTCCTGTCTTCCTGGCAAAGTAGCAGGAACAACAAGGAACAAGCCTTCCTGTGTCGATGGTGAGTCCCACCCTCCCCAGAGCAAAAAACCAAAGTCTATTATGACAAACATGGATTTTCCTTTTGTAGTTTTGTACAATCCATATTCATCACACTTGTAACCTCAGTAAGTTTGTATTTTATATTTATTACATGACTTAAAATAAGGAGTTAGGAGGTTGAATAAATTATTGGGTAAATTTAGTGTAACGTGAATTTATTGAGGACAGATAAACTTGTGCAAAGAAAAACTAATTCACGAGACCCTTTGGCTGCCAAGATCCTAAGCAATTGCTTACTTATGTCTTATAGTACAACCTCCTATGACTGTGGATTTAATGGTACCTCAGAATGCAGTTCTGACAACATATGTGGGAGAATTTCTCTAATCTGTTTCTATCATAAACGGAAGAACGTAGAAACACTCTCAGCAGGTTGGATGATTGCACTTGTCCTGAGAGATATGGTTTCCTATCAGTCTGTTTATGAGATATAGTCTTATATCTGCTTGTCCTGGTCAAGGACAAGTCTGGATTGGTTCTATCCTGGACCACAATTCTACAAGATTAATTTTCCTGATATAATTTTTTGAACAAGAATATCCCAGATAAATACAGCGGCATCCTCATTCCCTAAGTTTGGGAATGTTTTATTTTTTCATCCTGGTTCCTACACCTTTCCCTAACACGTTGCTTTGACTGTTGATCCTGGATAGGTCGGATTCATACATGGAATCTGTCTGGGGAATGACTAAAAGAAAATGCGTAATTCACCTACCACAGTTTGGATTATGTCTCAAAAAGCATCAAGCAAATAAGACTGAATGGACTGTTACCTGCGAGTTTAAATCTTTTTTATTCTGTTAGTAAATGAGGTTTCTTCACTGCAGTCAGCTATCTCTGGGACCGCAATGGCCCAGATAGATGCAGATCTTGCATTCTTGGTTATTAATGCCCCGTCAGTTTGAGTAATGGTACTAGGAGGACAGTTATGTGCCCATAGGAGAATTGATGGGCTCTGTCCCCGTGACACAACCTGCCAGAAACAATGCATTGGATATACTTTTTTAAATGCAGATAGCTACATTTGGAGAGGGAAAGAAAATGAACGAGGGCAGAAAACTAAGGGGAGGGGGAGGTTTCTCCTTATCTAGAATATTTAAAAGAAATTTAGGACCAGGGTTTTACATTCTACAGCCATCAATTTCTGGGACAAAAACCCTTGTTTAAAGGATTAAAAAATGTATTAGCTTTTACCATTTGACATTATTTTGGCATTAACAAGATAAACAATATGGCCCAAAATACATGTTTTGAAAGTCTGCTGTCTTTGCTGAAGGTTCTGTATGGTGTGTGAATATACTGAGAGGGAAAATATCATACATTTGATATAGATTAATAAATTTGACAAGGGTAACCTTTTTCCATTTCTGTCAAAATAAACAAGACGTACAGTATACCCAGTGAAGACACCATTTGAATTTGGTCAATGTGTACACGATTTACACTTAACTAGCTTAAGATGGGGGTGGCATGGTGGTGCAGTGGTTAGCACTGTTGCCTCACACCTCTGGGACCTGCGTTCGAGTCTCCGCTTGGGTCACGTGTGTGTGGAGTTTGCATGTTCTCCCCATGTCGTCATGAGGTTTTCTCCAGGTACTCCAGTTTCCCCCCACAGTCCAAAAACATACTGGGGCTAATTGGAGTTACTAAATTGCCCATAGGGGTGCATGTGTGAGTGTGCCCATTGCTTCCATTTTAGTTTTATATTACGAAAAAATGTAAGCTATCTAAATTGTATGCTACTGTATAAGTTAAATGTATTTAATCTGACCATGGTGGCTTAAGTATAGGATCGATTTTGGCTAATCTGCCATCATCAAGGGCTCTGTTATAACAATCTGAAGCACATGGTCTGAAGCACATAGTCTGAAGCGCATGGTCCAAGTTCATTTAGGGTGTGCCCAAAGTCACTTTTGCTAGTGTTCATACAATAATAATAAAGTATATTGTACACTATTATATAGTACTCTATAGTACTGTACACTCTCATATGAAAGAGATTCTGACATTTTAACCTAATTCTCAAGAGATGAGCAATGAAAAAATATCATGTATCAAGGGATGATGAGCAATGAAAATCATGCTTTTTTTATCCCTCAAAGGAAGAAGGAAAAATGAAAAGACAACTGTTCAATAATATCTTATTATTGGTACTCATCAGCCTGTATACACACAGTTTGAAACTTATGAATCATTTCTTTTTTTCGGACCGTTGTGAACCGCAGATACAGGGGTACCGCTGTAATAATTAGCCAGTTTCATTCATCATTACTGTGTTATGGTTAGGGATGTATATGGGAATACAGGACAAATCGCTAGATGGTTCTAGAAAAATTTGTTTTTCAGGGGGCTGAGACAAAAAACAGGGGAGCTGAAGGCTGCCTAAATAGGGTCCAGAACCGCCTTTGGAGTACAGTACTGTATAATAATGTGCAATGTACTTTATTATTACTGTAGTTAATGTCAGTAATGTCTCACTGGGCATCATTTATCAATTACCATAAGTAAGTGCACAAAATTTCACAGCATACATGGGGTCTGAGGATGACTCGCTATAATCCACGGCGTCAGCTGTAGGTTTTAGAACGTGACACCTGCAGATACAGGGGATGCTACAGTATCTTGATATAAACATTAATGATCTTTCACATTGTAATCTTTTTATTTTTAATCTTTTGCATGTTTGTGCGCTGCTGTGTCGCTGTGTGTGTAACTAGCAGTGTACGCACACTGTACATTCACCCACGTAAGCGTATGTTGCAATCTTGATGACACACTTAAAATAACTTAAATACTGCGTCGCTGACTTTAGACCAGATTTTTGTTGGTGAATCTTGCCATCACTTTCTGCTGTCTCAAGAGCCGTGCACCAACATCTTGTTTTAAGATCGACGCACCCATTGGCGCACAGATGGGTGCAAATGCATTTGCTTTGTAAAGGAGCTCTATTATGCTTTTCTTTTTTTCCCCTTTTCTTTAGTGTTTTATGTAGCATGTAAACAGTCTGCAAAGTCTTAAGGCCCAAAGTACACGGCAAAGGGAGTAACAAGGAGAACAGAAACCACTATTAGCAAATCTCCCTGAGAAATGCCTCATTGTAATTCCAGCCCTTACCATTGTGACATGGTGAGGTCACTTCGTAACATGATTGTTATTGGCTGCCCACCTCCAAAGATCTGTCTGCAGACTGCAAGACAGGGGTGGTACGTGTAAGGCAAGCTGACCAATAAGAGCACACTGGGCTCATCTGGGGTGAGGCTTAATGCTCTAACAGAGTATTTCAGACAGTTGTAGACAGAGTGAATACAGATGTACAGTATGAGAAAAATTATGTGTTTTTGGAACATTGAAGCATGCAAATCGATTTTAATAGGTCCCAAAAATCAAATGGTGAATGGTGAAAATGAGCATAATAGAGCCCCTTTAAATAAAAGGAAAATGACACCTGCATCGGGCTCATGCTAGCAGGGACTGTGTCGTGCCTGGAACTGCTTTGCACCAGGTGTACGATGGAGCTGCAAGAGTTTGTCACAGAAAGCCAGTGTGGGCATGGTGACTGCATTACCCCAGGTTACCAATCCTGAGCTATTCCCACATACAGTAAGAGAGACTCTGAAGTTCAGAAGATAACTTATGCTCAGGATTGGAGAAGGATTTCAGTAGCTAAATGCCAGTGCTTAAGAAAAAGTTCTTCACATCCTCGATGCTAGTGTGATACATCAAGGTGGCAGGATTAAGGTGTGACGAGAAGGTCCTAATATTCCATTGATGTAGCTCGTGGCGAGGCGTTCAGCCTGTAAGACTCAAGCATGACCCTCACAGTCTGATGGGGTGGAAGTGTGTCTGGACGGAGACACGGCAGACGGTGGCAGGCAGCCACCTGGGGTGCGGCGTCAGCTGGCCGCGAGCTGGAACTCCAGATCGTGAGCTTGTTTGGTCAACAATGCTCAGGTGCAAATCGAGAGCCCATCAGAATCTAAACCAAGCGGAGGAGATGGAGCAGATGCTCAGTGCTGCTTGTTTCAGGGTTTGGGATTCGGGCTGTAACTCCGGCTTCATTTGAGAACAGAAACATTCCGGTATCTTTACTTCCACAGAGCTGAACATACTTGGATGCGAGATGCTGCATTACATGGTTTTCCCAGCCAACTTAGCTAGGGACTGTCAGCATCAGTCACAGCTGGGCAGAATGTGAGTGTGGAGCGTGCGGTAGGCAGTATGACAGCGGCCATCACACAGGGAGGATGACACTGTGACGCAGACACTCCTATCATCACGCACATACAGAAATGCCTGGGGAATGGAAATGGCTGTTCTCCATTCAGTGACTGCGAGTTAATAAATATTAACAATGACTACAAGCATTGTACGTCTCGTAGCTACAGATAAGGTCTGTCTGTATTTGGCACGAAGCAAATATTGCAGGAAAAATATGACATAGTGTGTTAATTTTGTACGAAAAGGTCAGCATTATTCTCTGTATTGTTTCTTTTTATTTAAAGAAGTCAATGGCCTTTGGGGATACATGTGATGTATGCTACCTTGAACATGTGCATTAATGCATTAATAAATAATGAGAAGGAGAGAGAAGTGGAGCATTATGGACTGTCGGCCTGTGGGAGGCTCGATTCCATAAGGTGACCATTACGCACTCAGCCAGTGCCAAAGCTGCTGTTCTGAAATCCTTGTGGAGAAGGACAGAATGCTCCTTTCTGGGAAGTGAGGCTGTGTGTCCACTTTTGGTGTAAGAGGCCTGATGATGTCATGGTCTAGAAGTCACAGGGTGCCTTGGGAATACAGGAAAGTCGAAACCCACAGAAAAGCATGAGACCACCATTCATCAAAAGGCAGCGGTGACGGGTCAAACTGTGAAGCTAGTCCTGAGCGCCACGCAGTCAATTGGATTCAAACCATTCACAAAAGCTGCTTCCTCCTATAAAGAAAGCTTCAATCTGCCAT